TACTCGCTTAATGAAAAATTCCTTAATTGTCCATTATCTTATTTCAGTCTTTATAAGTTTATTATTTCCTCAACTATTTATAGATCTCGAGGAAAGCATTTTTGATTTGAAGACATACTTCGATTTCAAAGGTGGGTCCCCCTATTTACTTTTTTCCAGTTATTCTTAAACTCTTGTCGAAATTAGCAAGATATGCTTTTCTTCTGAGAAAATGAAAGTACAATTTTGTAAGCTAAGAATAAGAACTTCAGCAATACCTGCAGACAGTTTTTCAATCGCCCCGCTTTGTATGTCTCTCAGTCTGCATATCTGTCATTCAGTCACTCCGTCATACTTCAGAGCTGTCACTCTGTCACTCTTTCACTCTGTCACTTTGTCATTCTTTCACACTGTCACTCCATCACTCTTTCACTCTTTCACTCTTTCACTCTGTCACTTCGTCATTCCTTCACACTATCACTCCGTCACTCTTTCACTCTGTCACTCTGTCACTTTGTCATTCTTTCACACCGTCACTCCGTCACTCTTTCAGTCTGTCACTCTGTCACTCTGTCATTCATTCACACTGCCACTCCGTCACTCTTTCACTCTTTCACTCTGTCACTCTATCGTTCTTTCACACTGTCACTCCGTCACTCTTTCAGTCTGTCACTCTGTCACTCTGTCATTCATTCACACTGCCACTCCGTCACTCTTTCACTCTTTCACTCTGTCATTCTTTCATACTGTCACTCCGCCACCCTTTAATCCTTCACTATGTCACTCTGTCACCCTGTCACTCTGTCACTCTGTCACTCTGTCACTCTGTCACTCTGTCACTCTGTCACTCTGTCACTCTGTCACTCTGTCACTCTGTCACTCTGTCACTCTGTCACTCTGTCACTCTGTCACTATGTCGTAAAAGGGTCTCATACTCAGTTTGGTTATGAATGGCATGTATTTAAAATAACATGAAGCTCATCTATCTTCAGAGCTGGAAGAAGACGAAACAGAAAGTGAAAAATACTCCTATAAGCAGTATGGAAATGAGGATGAGGGTGGCCCAATGGAAATAAAATTGACCAAGGTGAGCTGAGTGACAGGAAGGCCTGTTACAATTTTCATCCTCCTAACACTCACTCGCAAATGTTTGGGAAGGATTGTCCATCGTAAGTTGTTTAAAAGAGAAAAACTGACTGACAAATTTCTAAATTTCACTTTCCCTACGAGTTCATGCAATTTTTAGATTATTTGTTGTCTTTGAAAGATTAACTCGCGCCTATTAAGAACAAATTACACTCGTAATTATTTTATTACCGACACAAAAATGAAAGTTTGTCTCTATTAATTTTACAGGACAACCCACCAAATGGGGTGGCCAAGTACGCTCTGCATCTGGGTGGAGAATTGCATTACGAGGAAGAAACATTACTGAAAAGAAGATTAGGGAAAAGGGTGCGCCACAAAAGGAATAACAGAGAAGAGGATGTATTTCGACTAAGATCAAAATCTGCCTGAACTGGGAAGGTCAAGAACTGAGAATCAAATAAACTTTGGAAAGGTTATTAACTCTCTTGTTTCACATATTCAAGGAATGTAAAGCTGTGCATATCGATTCAGAGCACCGCATTTTGGAAGAATTTGTTTGAAATAGTAGTTATACTCGCAACCTTAATGGGAGTCTGGAGTCTTTTATCCACGCTGCGCAGTTTCAAGATCCAGTAAACACAAACATTCATGATGCACAAAACATTAATACATTTACACTTATACAATATGTTTCACATATGGCTCAATTAGCGATTTTAACATAATTATTTCAATGAACTATACGTGTGCGTATATATACACAATCAATGCTATTACCCTAGAATTTAATTTTTTCGCTGACATGAATATTAATTTTTTTACCACTTTACCACAAAAGAGTCTGCTTGTATTATTATATATCTCTTATATTTATCACCGCAAAATTTTCCTCTGCCCACAAAAGGCTTAATTTCCCCTTACTGATCCACTGAGTTTGACAAACTTTCAGAGCAAAGAGGTCTCTCAGATTGTTAGATCTTTTTTGTCTATCCCTACATCTTCTGCTAACCAAAATTTTTCCGGTCTACCCAAAGGATTGTTTATTTGATGGGTTTCTCTGGTTAACAAAAAGTTCAAATTTAAGGGAACAGCTGAAGATGAGATACAAAGAAGATCAAGTTAAAGATACGCAAAAAATGGAGATGGGTTATTCCCAACCACAAATACTTCTTAACTGATATCTTGTAATGGAGCATTTCTGCCCTCAAACTTGATTGCTTGGTCTTCTCATATTTTTAATTGTTTATCAAATAAGTCTTTTTTTTGCTATCGCTGAAATAGATTTGTAAAAATGAAACAGAAAACGTTGGGGAATAAGATAATCAGTACTAGCAATGTATCTAATCACGTATTGCGATTTAGAGGCATGATTATTTTACTGTCTGATAAACCCACCTTTGATGGGAAATTAGTGCTCATGAATCGTTGTATAACGTGAGCGAGCGCTGATTCTCAGATTAGCAGCAGATTAACTATGAGTCTGTTTATAATTACTTTGACATCAACAATTCCAGCTTTTAACGTGTATTCCACTGATGTTGTGAAAAAAAGCATTGGGATGCTATAATGTTAGATTTTTCTCGTACATTTAATTTACAGGTATATTTCCTACTTTTTAGTTTCCATAGCCAGTTTATTTTCCTGAGACAGAGGGCCAAATGTAAAGTAATCATGACCCATAATTAACAATTATCCACTTAAGCAGAAGTGAATACTAGTGGATATTAACCGAGCCGCGAGGCAGCGAGGTAAATATCCACCACTTTCACAGTTACTGAGGTGGATAGTACTTCTCATTCACCTCGGAACTAGCCTATCAGCGCGTCAATCAGGGAGCGCGAAATGCAATAACATGATTCAACTGAAAAGTAAATATTAATCACCATTGCACGTACATCCAGCTTCTTTTGGAAATCTATCTGACTACCTACAAAGTGAGAGGCACAGCTAATATAGTATTGCTTTCTTTGAAACCTTTAGTTCATATTTTTATACTGAAACTGCTGGAATTCTTACCCACATTAGACATTAAAAACAGAACGCATCAAGGCATTCAATCGTAGGAGGAAGCAACGAACGTGTTGTCTATCTGTTTTATATTTATTTCTATTTGTTTGCTTTGTCGATGACAATCAGTCTTCGATTTGGTTTATTCACACTTTGCTCTCTAGCTTTGGATATACTTGGCGTATTTAGCAAAGCGTCTGCGAATAAATGCGGAAATTAATCATGTAAATATACATCGAGGGAATCTCTACATCAGAATTGTCTCATCAGTGTTTAGGAGCAGGTGCAAGGGAAATTTGTTTGATCTACCACTGAGTTTGTTTTGAAATT